GCAGTATTGGCCTCAGTTTTCTGCGTTTAGTGACTCTGATTCTGTATTAATTATGGTGACGTCAAAGAAAAGTTATTGTCCATCCGTATTATTTAATCATGAACGTCGTCATACGAAGTCGACGATCCAAGTATCAATGTTATGAAGCGACTTGTCGAAGATATATTGATGTCTGGAGAGTGTTTGATGACACATCAGCCTCCTGTTCCTAAGCTAACCAAACCTAACCAAACCAAACCTAACCCTAACCTAATATAACCTAATATAACCTTCAGGCAAGAAAATATCTTGGATAATTCGCTCCACAACAATGTCGCTTGGATCGTCGACTTCTTATGGACTCACCTGCCAGTTATAAAATTAAATTATTTCAAAGTAAAAATAGGTTTTTCATTTTCAACATTCACCAACAACATTTGTGTGAGTATTTATTTCACATTTGTGTATTACTTACCAAATGTTAGGAGGCTTTGGGAAGATTTGGGTACATTGGGTAGCTTCGGGTAGCTTGGGTAGTTTTGGGTAGCTTGGATACCTTTGGGGACATTGGTTAGCTTTGGGTACTTTGGGTAGCTTTGGGTACATTGGTTAGCTTTGGGTACATTGGTTAGGTTTGGGTACAATGGTTAGCTTTGGGTACTTTGGGTAGCTTTGGGTACATTGGTTAGCTTTGGGTACATTGGTTAGCTTTGGGTACTTTGGGTAGCTTTGGGTACTTTGAGTACTTTGGGTACTTTGTGTAGCTTTGGGTAGCTTTGGGTACCTAAGGTAGCTATGGGTAGCTTGGGTAGTTTTGGGTAGCTTGGGTACCTTTAGGGACATTGGTTAGCTTTGGGTACTTTGGGTAGCTTTGGGTACATTGGATAGATTTGGGTACATTGGTTAGCTTTGGGTACATTGGTTAGCTTTGGGTAACCAATGTTAGCTTTGGGTACTTTGGGTGCTTTGTGTAGCTTTGGGTACATTGGTGAGCTGTTGGTACATTGGTTAGTTTTGGGTACTTTGGGTATCTTTGGGTACTTTGGGTAGCTTTGGGTACTTTGGGTAGGTTTGGGTACTTTGGGAAGCTTTAAGTACTTTGGGTAGCTTTGGGTACTTTCGGTAGCTTTGGGTACTTTGTGTAGCTTTGGGTACATTGGTGAGCTGTGGGTACATTGGTTAGTTTTGGGAACTTTGGGTAGCTTTGGGTACTTTGGGTAGCTTTAAGTACTTTGGGTAGCTTTGGGTACTTTGGGTAGCTTTGGGTACTTTGGGTAGCTTTGGGTACTTTGGGTAGCTTTGGGTAATTAGACAGACCACTATGTTCTGTTCCTCTGTACTGTTCCTCTGTGTTGTTCCTCTCTACGGTTCCTCTGTACTGATCCTCTGTGCTGTTCCTCTGTGCTGTTCCTCTGTGCTGTTCCTCTGTGCTGTTCCTCTGTGCTGTTCCTCTGTACTGTTCCTCTGTGTTGTTCCTCTGTGCTGTTCCTCTGTGCTATTCCTCTGTGCTGTTCCTCTGTGCTGTTCCTCTGTGCTGTTCCTCTGTGCTGTTCCTCTGTGTTGTTCCTCTGTGCTGTTCCTCTGTGCTGTTCCACTGTGCTGTTCCTCTGTGCTGTTCCTCTGTGTTGTTCCTCTGTGCTGTTCCTCTGTGCTGTTCCTCTGTGCTGTTCCTCTGTGCTGTTCCTCTGTGTTGTTCCTCTGTGCTGTTCCTCTGTGCTGTTCCTCTGTGCTGTTCCTCTGTGTTGTTCCTCTGTGCTGTTCCTCTGTGCTGTTCCTCTGTGCTGTTTATCTATGCTGTTCCTCTGTGTTGTTCCTCTGTGCTGTCACTCTGTGCTGTTCCTCTGTGCTGTTCCTCTGTGCTGCTTCTCTATGCTGTTTCTCTGTGCTGTTCCTCTATGCTGTTCCTCTGTGCTCTTTCTCTATGCTGTTCCTCTGTGTTGTTCCTCTGTGCTGTTCCTCTGTGTTGTTCCTCTGTGCTGTTCCTCTGTGCTGTTCCTCTGTGCTGTTCCTCTGTGCTGTTCCTCTGTGCTGTTCCTCTGTGCTGCTTCTCTGTGCTGTTCCTCTGTGCTGTTCCTCTGTGCTGTTCCTCTGTGCTATTCCTCTGTGTTGTTACTCTGTGCTGTTCCTCTGTGTTGTTCCTCTGTGCTGTTCCTCTGTGCTGTTACTCTGTGCTGTTCCTCTGTGCTGCTCCTCTGTGCTGTTCCTCTGTGCTGTTACTCTGTGCTGTTCCTCTGTGCTGCTTCTCTGTGCTGTTCCTCTGTGCTGTTCCTCTGTGCTGTTCCTCTATGCTGTTCCTCTATGCTGTTCCTCTATGCTGTTCCTCTGTGCTGTTCCTCTGTGCTGTTCCTCTGTACTGTTCCTCTGCACTGTTCCTCTGTGCTGCTTCTCTGTGCTGTTCCTCTGTGCTGTTCCTCTGTGCTGTTCCTCTGTGCTGTTCCTCTGTGCTGTTCCTCTGTGCTGTTCCTCTGTGCTGTTCCTCTGTGCTGTTCCTCTGTGCTGTTCCTCTGTGCTGTTTCCACGTTTTGACAGTACCGGTTGACACTGCGTGCATCATATTCACCATTATTGAACTGTAACAGTCCACCACAGTACTGTAACATTCCTCCACAGTACTGTAACATTCCTCCACAGTACTGTAACAGTCCTCCACAGTACTGTAACAGTCCACCACAGTACTGTAACAGTCCACCACAGTACTGTAACAGTCCACCACAGTACTGTAACAGTCCACCACAGTACTGTAACAGTCCTCCACAGTACTGTAACATTCCTCCACAGTACTGTAACAGTCCTCCACAGTACTGTAACAGTCCACCACAGTACTGTAACAGTCCACCACAGTACTGTAACATTCCTCCACAGTACTGTAACAGTCCACCACAGTACTGTAACAGTCCTCCACAGTACTGTAACAGTCCACCACAGTACTGTAACAGTCCACCACAGTACTGTAACAGTCCTCCACAGTACTGTAACAGTCCACCACAGTACTGTAACAGTCCTCCACAGTACTGTAACATTCCTCCACAGTACTGTAACAGTCCTCCACAGTACTGTAACAGTCCACCACAGTACTGTAACAGTCCACCACAGTACTGTAACAGTCCTCCACAGTACTGTAACAGTCCACCACAGTACTGTAACAGTCCTCCACAGTACTGTAACAGTCCACCACAGTACTGTAACAGTCCTCCACAGTACTGTAACATTCCTCCACAGTACTGTAACAGTCCACCACAGTACTGTAACAGTCCTTCACAGTACTGTAACTGTCCTCCACAGTACTGTAACAGTCCACCACAGTACTGTAACAGTCCTCCACAGTACTGTAACAGTCCTCCACAGTACTGTAACAGTCCTCCACAGTACTGTAACTGTCCTCCACAGTACTGTAACAGTCCTCCACAGTACTGTAACTGTCCTCCACAGTACTGTAACAGTCCTCCACAGTACTGTAACTGTCCTCCACAGTACTGTAACACTCCTTTAGAAAAGCAGAGTCTGTAAAGAACTGCATTTATAAACTTGTGTAAGGAACCGTTCAGAACCCTGTATACCACTTATGTAAGACCAATCCTGGAGTATGCAGCTCCAGCCTGGAGTCTATACCTAGTTAAACACAAGACAAAGTTAGAGAAGATTCAGAGGTATGCCACCAGACTGGTCACATGATAGCCACCTACATAATTCTCAGGGGAATTGACAGGGTGGACAAAGACAAACTCCTTAGCACTGGTGGGACATGAACAAGGGGACACAGGTGAAAACATAGTACCCAGATGAGCCACAGAGACGTTAGAAAGAATTTTTTCAGTGTCAGAGTAGTTAACAAATACAATGCATTAAGCAGTGTTGTGGTGGAGGCTGACTCCATACACAGTTTCAAATGTAGATATGATAGAGCCCAATAGGCTCAGGAATCTGTACATCAGTTGATTGACAGTTGAGAGGCGGGACCAAAGAGCCAGAGCTCAACCCCCCAAACACAACTAGGTGAGTACAACTAGGTGAGTACTCCTTTACAGAACAGTAACACTCCTCCATTGTACTATAACAATCCACCACAGTACTGTAACAGTCCACCACAGTACTGTAACACTCCTCCACAGTACTGTAACAGTCCACCACAGTACTGTAACAGTCCTCCACAGTACTGTAACAGTCCACCACAGTACTGTAACAGTCCTCCACAGTACTGTGTTGAACAGTTGGAAGAGTTCTGTATCAAAGATCTGACAATGGTTTGACTCAGGCTTATCACGAGGCTTGACACGAGGATTGACACGAGGCTTGACGCGAGGCTTGACACGAAGCTTTACACGAGGATTGACACGAGGCTTGACACAAGGCTTAACACTGGCTTAACCAATGGTTGACACAGACTTGATACAGGCTTGACACTGGCATGACACATACATGACATTGGCTTCACAGAGGCCTGACTCTGGCATAACACTGGCATGACACAGACTTCACACAGGCGTGACACTGGCTTGTCACTGGCTTAACAGATGCTTGACACTGGCTTGTCACAGGCTTGACACTGGCTTGTTAGTGGCTTGACACTGGCTTGATACAGGCTTGACTTTGGCATGGCACAGGCTTGACACTGGCTAGACACAGGCTTGACAAAGGCTTGCCACAGACTTGACACGAGTCAGATAATGTGACATAAACCAGGAATAAAGTAATAATTCAATCCACCGCATCAAATACTCTCTAACCAAGTGTGCGGAACATTACAATATATATATTAAGGGAACTACGTGTTGATGACACAAGGTTGAAAACCCTCCCCCGAGTGAGGGAACTCCGCCCTAACATACAGTGCCGCCTTAACTACCCTGGCGATGGGGTAGTTCTTGAATGAACCACATGACATAATCACTAATAATATGTCAGTTTACACCAGAGTTGGTGCGAGTAATTTGTAGCGCAGTAGTGAGACCAACTGTGCTCTGGCATCCCTCCTCACAGTAGTGATGGTGGGCAGGTGGGCCAGGTCCCTCCTCACAGTAGAGATGGTGGGCAGGTGAGCCAGGTCCCTCCTCACAGTAGTGATGGTGGGCAGGTGAGCCAGGTCCCTTCTCACAGTAGTGATGGTGGGCAGGTGAGCCAGGTCCCTCCTCACAGTAGTGATGGAGGGCAGGCGAGCCAGGTCCCTCCTCACAGTAGTGATGGTGGGCAGGTGAGCCAGGTCCCTCCTCACAGTAGTGATGGTGGGCAGGTGAGCCAGGTCCCTCCTCACAGTAGTGATGGTGGGCAGGTGAGCCAGGTCCCTCCTCACAGTAGTGATGGTGGGCAGGTGAGCCAGGTCCCTCCTCACAGTAGTGATGGTGGCAGGTGAGCCAGGTCCCCTTTACGAGAAGACTGGGTGGACTGCATTTTTTTGGACTGTCGGAAAGCCTTTGGCACAGTACCCCATAAGAGGCTGGTACATAAGCTGTAGAGACAGGCAGGTGTAGCTGGTAAGGTGCTCCAGTGGATAAGGGAGTACGTAAGCAATAGAAAGCAAAGAGTTGCAGTGAGGGGTGAGACCTCAGATTGACGGGAAGTCACCAGTGGAGTCCCACAGGGCTCTGTACTCGGACCTATCCTGTTTCTGATCAGGATAGGTCCTATACCTATCTCCCGGAGGGTATAGACTCATTCCTCTTAATGTTTGCTGACGATGCCAAAATTATGAGAAGGATTAAGACAGGAGGACTGCTTGAGGCTTCAAAAGACCAAGACAAACTAAAGGAATGGTCGAACAAATGTTTGTTAGAGTTTAACCCAAGCAAATGTAATGTAATGAAGATAGGTGTAGGGAGCAGGAGGCCAGTTACAAGGTATCATTTGGGAGATAAAATTCTTGAAGAGTCAGAGAGAGGAGAGAGACCTGGGGGTTGATATTACGCCAGACCTGTCCCCTGAAGCTCATATCAAGAGGATCACATCAGCAGCATATGCCAGGTTGGCTAACATAAGAACGGCATTTAGACACTTGTGCAAGGAATCATTCATTCCACCTATGCCAGATTAATCCTGGAGTATGCAGCCCCAGCATGGATTCCATATCTAGTCAAGCATAAGACTAAACTGGAAAAAAACCAAAGGTTTGCCACCAAACTAGTACCCGGGATGAGAGGTATGAGCTACGAGGAGAGACTTCGGGAATTAAACCTCACGTCGCTAGAAGACAGAAGAATTAGGGGGGACATGATCACCACATTACAAGATTCTCAGAGGAATTGATAGGGTAGATAAAGACAGTCTATTTAACACAAGGGGAACACGCACAAGGGGACACAGGTGGAAACTGAGTGCCCAAATGAGCCACAGAGATATTAGAAAGAACTTTTTTAGTGTCAGAGTGGTTGACAAATGGAATGCATTAGGAAGTGATTTAATAAATAAATAAAAAAAAACACCTCCAAAAAAAATATAAAACCAAAAAACCATTTGTCGTGGCATCAGAAGTGTAACTACCCTGATGTTTCTAAGATTAACCTCCTTCAGCCAACTCCATCGGCTCTAGTGCTTTAGGACACCAACAAGGTCACAAACACTAGCCCCCCCAGCCAATGTACTGACACCCCAACATAACACATACGCAAACAAACAACACATACAAAAATGTCAACCCATGGTGGACAGGCCACCGAACTTTCAAACCTCCTCTCTCTCTACACCCGCATCCTCTTCCTGAATTTCATCCCCCCATCCCTCTACCTCCCCCATCCTTTCCATTCCATATGGACATCAAGCCAAGTGATGTGATGGAGGCTGACTCCATACACAGTTTCAAGTGTAGATATGATAGAGCCCAATAGGCTCAGGAACCTGTACACCTGTTGATTGACAGTTGAGAGGCGGGACCAAAGAGCCAGAGCTCAACCCCCGCAAGCACAACTAGGTGAGTACACACACACACCCCTCCCCTTGCGAGCCCGCCACCCCCACCTCTTCCTTCATTTCCCTCTTCTGCCCCAATGCCCACACCTACCCCTGAGTCCCCCTTGACAGGTTTGGTGTTGCAGGGGGTCTCAAAAACCTCTCTCCCACTCTCACTATCTATGCTCCATCCTCTTCGTCTTCCTCCCCACCCCCCACTATCTTCCTCCTCCCCAACCTCTCAACCTCTATCTGCCTCTCAGCCTCATGCTACCTCTCAACCCTTTATGCTTCTCAGACCTTCCCTAATTTTCAGACATAGTATGCCCTTTCTACTCCAGACCTACCTACCCAGACTTTACTACCCCCAGACATACCTTGATAGATGCCCAGCCCCATTCGCCCCCCAGGCACCACCCAGACCCCATTCACCCCCAGACACGCCCCCCAATCTCCCCAGACCCCCAGAGAAATGGTGAACTCAGGTACCAAAGTTTCCAAGAAGAGTCTCAAGGTTTGGTACACCAATGCTGATGGGGTAACTAATAAAGCGGAAGAGGTAAAAGAAAGAGTTAGTGAGGCAGATCCTGACATAGTTGCAATAGTGGAAACTAAAATAAATGACATGATCTCGGATGCAATCTTCCATCCGAGATCATGCCATGATGATGAGGGTGATAAGAAAAGAAAGGACACAGAGACAAGGAGGGGGAGTGGCACTTTCAATAAAGCGGAAATGAAAGTTTGAAGACCTGGAAAATCTGGATACCAATGAGAGCACAAGCTCCATACATGGAATACTGAAAGCAGATTGGAGGAAGATTGTGATCTTGGTAATCTACAATCCTCCACCACATCACTTCCTAATTCCTTCTATTTGTCAACTACTCTGACACTAAAAAAAATATTTCTAATGTCTCTATGGCTCAATTGGGCACTCAATTTCCACCTGTGCCCCATTGTATTTTCTTCTGAGGAAAATTCCACTGAAATCTCGTTTTCTTTCAGTTAATTTGTTAGTAGTCAATCAGGAGCAATATTATTTTGCCTATTGTATTAACAGTTAGTAAATGGTGTCGGCTTTTCTGACAAGCGACGTGAGGTTTTGTTCCCGTAGTCTCTCCTCATAGCTCATGACCCTCAGTTCGGGCACTAGTCTCGTGGCATACCTCAGAACCTTCTCCAATTTAGTTATATGCTTGACGAGATGTGGACTCCATGCTGGAGCTGCATACTCCAGGATTGGTTTGACATATGTAGTAAACAAGGTTCTAAATGATTCCTTACACAAGGTTCTAAAGGCCGTTCTTATGTTGGCCAACCTGGCATATGACGCTGATGTTATCCTCTTGATGTGGACTTCGGTAGACAGGTCTGGCGTGATATCAAACCTCAGGTCTTTCTCTGTCTCTGATTTTAGAAGAACTTCATCTTCCAAATGGTACCTTGTATCTAACCTCCCGCTTCCCACACTTGTCTGTGAAATATTGTTAACACCCTACATGTACACAGTTGTACATTGTGTAACACCCTCCATGTACACAGTTGTACATTGTGTAACACCCTCCATGTACACAGTTGTACATTGTGTAACAACCTACATGTACACAGTTGTACATTGTGTAATACCCTCCATGTACACAGTTGTACATTGTGTAACACCCTACATGTACACAGTTGTACAATGTGTAACATCCTCCATGTACACAGTTGTACATTGTGTAACACCCTACATGTACAGTTGTACATTGTATAACATCCTCTATGTACAGTTGTACATTGTATACCATCCTCCATGTACACAGTTGTACATTGTGTAACACCCTACATGTACACAGTTGTACATTGTGTAACACCCTACATGTACACAGTTGTATATTGTGTAACACCCTACATGTACACAGTTGTACATTGTGTAACACCCTCCATGTACACAGTTGTACATTGTGTAACACCCTCCATGTACACAGTTGTACATTGTGTAACACCCTACATGTACACAGTTGTACATTGTGTAACACCCTACATGTACACAGTTGTACATTGTGTAACACCCTCCATGTACACAGTTGTACATTGTGTAACACCCTCCATGTACACAGTTGTACATTGTGTAACACCCTACATGTACACAGTTGTACATTGTGTAACACCCTACATGTACACAGTTGTACATTGTGTAACACCCTCCATGTACACAGTTGTACATTGTGTAACACCCTACATGTACACAGTTGCACATTGTGCAACACCCTACATGTACACAGTTGTATATTGTGCAACACCCTACATGTACACAGTTGCACACTGTGTAATACCCTACATGTACACAGTTGTATATTGTGTAACACCCTACATGTACACAGTTGCACACTGTGTAATACCCTACATGTACACAGTTGTACATTGTGTAACATCCTACATGTAGACAGTTGTACAGTGTACTCACCTATTTGTACTCACCTATTTGTGCTTGCAGGGGTTGAGCTTTGGCTCTTTGGTCCCGCCTCTCAACTGTCAATTAACTGGTGTACAGATTCCCGAGCCTACTGGGCTCTATCATATCTACATTTGAAACTGTGTATGGAGTCAGCCTCCACCACATCACTGCCTAATGCATTCCATCCGTTAACTACTCTGACACTGAAAAAGTTCCTTCTAACTTCCCTGTGGCTCATGTGGGTACTCAGTTTCCACCTGTGTCCCCTTGCTCGCATACCACCAGTGTTGAATAGTTTATCCTTCTTTACCCGGTCGATTCCCCTGAGGATTTTGTAGGTTGTGATCATGTCTCCCCTTACTCTTCTGTCTTCCAGTGTCGTAAGGTGTATTTCCGCAGCATTTCCTCGTAACTCATGCCTCTTAGTTCTGGGACTAGTCTAGTGGCATATCTTTGGACTTTTTCCAGCTTCGTCTTATGCTTGACAAGGTACGGGCTCCATGCTGGGGCCGCATACTCCAGGATTGGTCTTACATATGTGGTGTTCAAGATTCTGAATAATTCCTTACACAGGTTCCTGAACGCTGTTCTAATGTTAGCCAGCCTCGCATATGCCGCAGATGTTATTCTTTTTATGAGGGCTTCAGGAGACAGGTTTGGTGTGATATCAACTCCTAGATCTTTCTCTCTGTCCGTTTCATTAAGTACCTTATCTC